AAAAAAAAAAAAAAAAAAAAAAAAAAAAAAACCAACACAACAAAAAACAATCAGTTGGCATTTTTAATGTTCATAAACAATAAACTTTTCTGTGAACTCGTGAGCAAAACCATAATAAGCGAATTCCTGGCAGCAGCCAAAACTATTTTTTCCAACCCATGTATTAGATGAGCTACTCCAGTGTTCTCCATAGTCGACATGTATAAAGACCTAGTGACATCGACTAAAACAAACTGATGTTCCAAGATGTTGCACGAAACCTGTTCGGCCAAAGCCTCAATGCTACCGTAAGTGTCTGTTTTCGAAATAACTGACCTTAAAATACATGCTCATATAAAGAAAAATTTTAAAGCGTTTTCTAGTTTGTTTTCTTGAAAATGTAAGCTACAAGTCTTTTAATCAAAAAAACTAATAAAGCCAATAAAGAATGTGAATGCAAACCATTTTGAATGGTCACACGCCTCTATTTCTTCTGAAAGGAAAGACATCATCGAATTTTTTTTTGCATTAGATAAATGCCAACATAATGGATGAGTTTTCCGCTGAATGTCCACAGCAAATACGGCACTGTAAAAATATGATTACTCCAGACTCCAAAATAATACTGTACACAAATACTGCTGTTTATTAACTCACCTTCAAAGAAAACCAGAACGATTAGAACAGTTCATTTAATAAAATACTACCAGTTCATGTCAATAATCTGAATGTTTGCAGAAATCTAGTTTCGATAAAAAAAACCCGTCAGTCAAGAAAGACAAATAAACGTCATATCTTTGTTATCCGTTTTTTTCTCGACTGAATACCCAATAATCGCACAATCAGGAAGAAAATTTTTTCCCTCAAATTACTCATAGGAAGAAAAAAATTTTACTGAAATAATGACAACCTCCAATCAAAGGTTCCAATCGGTGTCTTAGCATGCAGTTTTGGAGAAAGCACGCAACAAACTGCACATAACGCTTTTCGCTGTTTCAAACAAATACACTTAGATATCAAGCACGGCACTGTTAGAGGCCTCTTGCAGTGCTTGCAACAAGCTCTAGTCCGTGCAAGGTCTTCCTGAAAAATATAGTGCAATTCTAAGGTACCAAGGAATTCAATCAGCAATTCCCACCAGGCTGACAGATGAACTTGGTAATTTTATAAAAACCAAGAATTACTTTCATACAAACCTCTTCAAAAACTCCATCAGTTACTTCACATTCCCGCGAAACTTCTTTTTCTAAACGCTGCCTTTTCACTTCATCAAGGAAACCTCCAGTACGACTCAGACCATTAGACTCAGCATAATCGTCGTAGCTCCAACCGTAAAGAACGCTTCCAAAAACAATTCTAAATTTAACGTGCATTTTATTTAAAAGATTATTCCAAAAATTGGGCGCACTCAATTGCTTGACAGATGTTCAGACACAGTAGTGGTAGAAAATGCAAGTTTTTATTACCAAAATTATCAAGTGACCAATATGACCGTTTATACCACAGGTGTATTTAGACAGCCAAAGAGTTCTTCGTCTAGAAGAAAAAGTACAGGAGATTTAGTTACACTTTTAATACCAAAAAATAAAAAATATACCCCTTCGAAATTTTTAGTTTGAAAAGCTGCATTGCCGAAACTGCATCTACAACAGAACAGTGGCCATAATCCTGGATTTCCTTACCGAGGAAAATTTGAACTAAAGTCTAAAATGTATAAAATTTTAAGAGTTAAACTTAGGCGAGGACGATAAACACTAAAAATTATATGGTATTTTCCTGCCTAAAAGATCGACAGTACGAAATAATTTGGCAGCTAACTAAAATTAACTGGCAAAAATAATCATTGCAGATAAAGTAAACCGACCGTAAAATATTTTTGCTATTTCAGACTTAGTGTAATTGATTAACCAGAACGACTAGAAAAAAAAACAGTTTGTTTCTCTTGAAGAAATTTTTGTAAAAAACAACAATGGTTTCAAAAATTCATTTAGACATCTTATTTTGACTTTAAAACTTACTCCTCAATCAGCAGTAAAAAGAAAAATATTTGGCTTCGCCCAGCAGTAGTAGCTACACAGTTCTATCTTAATAACCTTCAAAATCATAGAACAACAAAGATATAGTTATATAAACTGCTGCTCACTGGTACTGCCATCATCCCCCAGAAACCTGATCGGAAAATTAGCTTAAAAACTTCTTCTAATACTATATGAATAAGAACATCTGACCTTCAGTGAGGATCTGTGCCTTTCACTTCCGGATAAATTAAAAATATGCCCAACGTCAATGCAATACGGATGAGCGAGATTCAGAGCTCGTAAATCAAATTCCAATGAATGGCCAACCAAAATTGCATCTGGTGGAAGAACATGTTTCAACGCTTTCTGAAATCAAACTGCTTAGGTAAAAAATTCAAAAAAACTGCAAAAAAATTAATAAATAAATAAATACCTGGACGTCGATAAGGCGAACATCCACTGGATCAAGCAGATTTTTGGTAATGCCACTGAATTTTGTCAAATAGTCTGTAATAGGTTCGAAAGGCTTAACCAATGTATCGATTATTACATTGTAATTTTCGTCTACCTAAACGAGTTGAAAATATCATTTAATTAAACAAGAACTATCTAATTAAACGCAAAATAGTAAAAACCATTAAAACTTGTGGGCCCAGCAACGAAGAGCTAAAAACGAATTTCAACACAGACCCACAAAGGTCCAAATCTGAACCAGCTCAAACTATACACATCCGAACAATCTCATGACAAAAACTAAAAAAAACTTTTTATTTCTACCAGAGAAAAAAATATCATGTCAAAATTACTAGTGATATACGAGTAAGTTCGTGTTTCCCGGGCGCTGTTAAACACATTTCACAGTCAAGTGCAAACAAAGGTGAATCCTCGGTAACAGGCGCGTAGTTTTCCTGATTATAGAAAGATAAGAAAATAAAGCAGAATTTGTCAAATAAAAATTAAAATTATATTTACTTTTGTTGGAGTCACCGGGTGTGAAGAACACGTTTCGCTTTCTGGAAAAGGATACTGAAAATCAATCATTTGATCAAACGACATTAGAAAAGAAGCTTTAGACGACGAGCTAGCACCACTTTCCATGACTACATTACTAATCTGCAAAATCCAAAAGTTAAGTTGCAAAAAACTATGATGAATCAATGTAAAAAAATATAGAGTTAGAAGATGTCTGTGGCCGACTAACCGAATTTCTTTCTTTCAGCAATTCAATTCGAGTTAATGGAACATTGTAAATAGCTTTAAAAAAACAATCTCTCCTCGAAACATCACTTGACAGAATAAACGGCTTTTCCGGAAACATAGAACACATAAAGTCATGCTCCCTAATTTCATCCTAAAATGTAAACTTTTCAAGAAGAAACTAGATGTCACCAAAACACACTGAATGTACTTTGCTACTCAAGTAGACAAAAAGAAATAAAAAAGACTAAAAAACAATAAAAATTCACCGCAAAAATTTTTTGTAAAAATAACCAAGTTTTTTTCTCCTAAATAATCTCTTGACATGAAAATTTTGCTTTTATTGTTAAAATTGAAAATGAAATAACCAATTCTGCAATTCTCGCATAAGATGAAATGTTAGCCAATAATCACTAAAGAAAGAAAATGAAACAGAGTCAGAATATATTCCAAGATAAAAAAAACATTGAAGAGAAGAAACAGCTTTAAAATTGAACATAACCCACGGCGACAAAAATGAAACCTTACAAACTTTTAATTTCCCAAACAATTATACCATAATTTCATAATCGCTCTCCACGCGGATCAAAACTGTTTGTAAGACAGCTCTATGAGGCTTTATTTGAATCCATACAGGTTTAGGAATATGTGCCAATGTCAAGTAATGAACAAGTGCAGCAACTTCTAAAATTTTCAATTTCAAACTACCCCCAAGAATGTCAGAAATCTCGCTAAGGTATGCAAGAATAAAAAACAGCGATGTAAGCTCCTGAGCTTCTGTGGAGAAGATGATTCAAATCCACCCAGAAAAAAGAAATCGAAAAAAGTCAGAAGACTAAAATGTAGCAAAAAAATTTACATTTCTAACCCTTTAACCGAAAATGGCCAACAGCAAATTACTAATTGACGTAATAAACTCACTGTAACATATCAGTCAAAATCAAAATACATGACTACACTATTTCTTAGTACCATCAAATAATTTCCCAAAACTTCTGTGCAGCTGGTCATTCGAATAATATATACTTTTACAACTCAGGCTGTAAAGAACTTGTCTTTAATTAAAGGATTGTATGTGCTTTTTAAATATAGTCACTAACGTCGGCTGCCAATGCGTAAACCGTTTAACTTTTCTGACGATACATAAATTTTCGGTACAGGACCAATCTTTCGCTTAACTGCCAGCAATTTTCTGCTGATCTTCATTGATATATCCTTTTCTAAATTTGAAATAACATTTAATGCTAAAAGAAATATTATTTTTAAAAATAAAATCTAAAAATTAAAAAGCAAACAACCAACCACACTGATTCCAACCGCTTTCTTTTTCATCTGCAACAGCCGATATGCCACCACTCGGGTCTTTCTTGCTTAAAAGAAGAAGCTCACTCGCTTTTTTCTTCAAATTGCTTAGCTTCCTTTTCTCTCTTTTCGAGAAAAACTGCGACGACTCACCAACACTGTGCATCTGAAAACCAGGAAACGTATCACTTACCAAAGTTCACAGTATTAATAAAGACGCAAACTAATGGCAGTATAATATGAAGTCTTTAAGACACCGTATTATTAACTTCGACAACGTCTACACTCTCTTGACAATAACATGCACTACAGTCAGTTAATGAGAACAAATTTAGTAATATCCAACTTTACCAATGTTTCACAAGAATTGAAATAAGAACTAATTTTCAACCATGACAAAAACCACTAAAAACAACATTCTTTAGCCACCTCCACAGAAAAAACACCAAGCAAACGGCTAAAAAAAAGCTTTAAAAAAAGTCAAAAAATAATTATAGACTAAAAAGAATAACAACTACTTCGAATCTAAGCCATCTGATACTTCCGGTCCTCGACCAAATCCAGAACTCAACATAATTTTATGTACTTTATAAACGGCTTTTGAAACCGATCTATTTCCCAATCATTCAATACGTTTTTCAACGCGCTCAATCGGTTTCGGCAATAAATGAAATATGATTAGATGTACTTCCAGCTGTCCAAATCTGGAAGGAGATTTTAGATATGAAAAAAGATGATTAAAAAAGGTTAATCGACTGTCAAAAAAGAAGTTTTCATACTACTTCTTTTTTATATTAAAAGTCTAAACAAAACCTCAGAGTAATACTAGCAAAACCATAACAAAAACTTAGCACTCAAAACAAGCCGAGTACAGTTATTTATTTAGCATTCACCGTCACCAGTTAAATTACGCACCGACAACGTCAAGTAAACGACAACGAATCCTCCTTAACAAAATTGAAACTTAGAGATACAGATTTCGCGCTTCCAATCATTCCCTTTGAAAAACTACATTAAAAGTGTTGAAATTTAATAACTAAAAGCGTATAGGATATATACGCTGCATCCAACCGGCAATAAAAACAACTTTTCTTACACACTAAACTCTACTGACAAAAAAACAACGACTACCGTTAAACGAGCACTGATTACTCCATATTTGGCCGTCTAAAAATAGCAGAATACGGAGTGATTAACTTCACTGAATCTGTACCAGTAAAATACTACTTCTAGACAAATAAAATACTTAATTTTCAAAATCTCCCGCATTCAAAAGACAACTCGTTATACAATGACCTTTGCTGCCAAAGTTAAACCAAACGTCATCAACAGGCCTGGACTACACCCTGAATACCTGTGAACATGAAACCAGTCCACAAAACACAGGGTGCTTTCAACAAAGCCTTCATGCAAGATTGGCAACTAGCCAGCGCTTGGCGACTTTCAAACCGCAATAACGTCGGCTTTTCTGCTTCCTTCACAACTCTAGTGAACACCATATT